CCCATCTACAAGTGTCCTCAGGACCCTGTGTGTCCTCGGAGGAAGGTACGAAAGGAGAGCTTCGGGATTGATTATGACTTATTAAACTATTGGAACAGAGGCTGAATCATCAGTCAAAAAATAAACAGCTGCAACTTGATGTAACCTAACTCCCACTTCGTTTCCCTTTCCTCCCTCCCAGCTGGAAGGAGGAGGGGCCGCGCTGGCCGGGACCAGCAGGTGCCCACGGACTGTTGGGGGGTGGCCGCTGCCTCCATGCTCTGTGAAGCTGCGACGGTCGGAGCCTCTGCCTGCTCCTTGAACTGAACTTTGGCACCAAGTGGGGGCTCACATACGGCGCGAGGGGCGTTGGTCACTGCCCTGAGGGCTTCACCTGGGACCCATTTTTTCCCTGCGCTTCCCCGGCCTTGTGCTGGGCGCCCAGGGGTGATCCACAGTAGACACAGCCCTGCAAACGTGTCAGACCGAGAGGTCCCGAAGCGACTCTGGGTTCCTCCAGCCTCGGTCCAGCTGCCTGGAACAGAACGGATTCTGTGCAATCGGAGGGTAAGCTGCGCGAATCCCAGCCGCGAGCAGACCCGATCCCTTGGGGAGCAGACCCAAGTCGCTGGACCCCCACCCGCAGGAAGATCCCTCCGCCCCGTGCCTGTGGGCTGCGCCCCAGCCGGCGGCAGGATCCTGCACTTGGCTCACCCCGGTCCTCCCCCAGGACCCGACGGGTGGAGCAAAGCGGCGGTGACGTAACGGGGGTGGGGGAGGAGGCGTGGGGAAATGTGCCGAGGGGCTCGGGCTCCACAGCCTCCCGCGCCCAGAGCCTCCGTCCGCGGTTCGCGCTCCGGGTCTCTGGCCCCACGAGCTCTCCGCAGCGCGAGGCGACAGCCCGAGCCTGCGGGTCGGGACGCCCAGCGCGGGGTGCCGGCCAAGCTGCTGCACCTACGGCGCCTGGCTGGGTTGGGGACAGCCGCTGGGTACGAGGGAGCCGAGCTAGCAACTGCAGCGGGAAAGCAAAGGTGAGGTGTGTGAGCGTGTGTGTATGTGTGTGTGTGTGTGTGAGAGAGAGAGAGAGAGAGGAGGGAGGGAGGGAGGCACTGTGCACTTGGGCACCTGAGTGCATCTGTGCTGCAATGTTGTGCGCGCCTCGATGTGCCCAGTGTGTTGTTCCCCACCCTTGTGCCATTTAGGGGTGATTTTGGTGGGAATGAACGACTGCAAGTGTCCCAGTGTGTGTGTGTGTGTGGGGGGGGTGTGCATCGTGAATGCTGGAGCCGACGTGTCCACACAGCTGCACGCCGGTGAGTGTGGCATGCGCCCTTGTCCAGTCCTCGTCCCCCGGCTGGTCCAGGTGGTACCAGCGACGGATACAACTTCTCTCCCAACCGCCTTTAAAAGGGTCCGACGGGAGGAGAGCAAGTTGGCAGCAGGGGGGTGGGGGATAGTGCTGGGTTCCTGTGGGCACGCACCCCAAGATGCGAGCCTGTGAGAGGCAGAGAAGAGGGGCTTCTCTCGGTAGCTCCTCTCCTGGCCTGACAGACGCATCCCCAATGGTCCAGGGTCCATTTCCCTGGCGCTCTGGTGGAGAGGACAGTCAGTATGCCTGTCAAGTCCCCAAGCGGCAGCCTTCTCTGCCGCCTCAGCCCCTCTTCGTGGATAGACTGGGGGTGCATAGCATGGCAGTCTTCAGTCTTCACCTCGTCTCCTGGAAATAGCAGGGAATCCTTTAGGAAACCCTGGGTTCTGAGGGTCAGGGGGTGGGACGGCCAGGAGGAGGATTTTCTGTGCCAGCGCGGGGAACCAACTGGGCTGTCCAGAGACTCGCCTCTCTCCGTGCCCTTTGGCCAGCTCCGCCTGGCTTTTCCTAGGCGCCTTTGCACAGGGCAGCGCGCACTTGGGGGTAGTCACTCCTTGCCTGTGAGGCTCACGCTTCAGCCAACCCGAGACCCATTAGGGTTCAGCAGGCCCCAGGGGAATCGAAATGGAGGCTGAATAAAGAAACAATATTGGGGAGAAAGGAAAAATTGAAGCACAATAGCTTTAAGATCATCCCCCTCCCCCATTCTGTTCTCCATCCCAACAGTCGGTTCTCAGGCTGATAAGCCCAGCCTCTCTGGGAAGGGGAGACGCTGAGACCATTTGAACCCTGCTCTCCAACAGAGCCAGCACTCAGATTCTGAGGAAACCAGCAACCAGCCATTTCCAGGATCTAACAGTTCTTAGGCTGGAAAAATTAAAAAGCACAAAATCAAACTTCCTGTGCATTTCATTTAAGCATAACTCAAGGAGTACTGACTGCCTGGCATTAGACCCCCCTTTCAATGAAGCAGAAGTCAGCCGAAGACCTTAGGCAGCAAATTGATTGTCAGCGAAATAAGATTCACTGTGATTTAAACCCACTTCTTCTTTAAAGGAGCCCTCCCACTCCGGTTTACTCTCTCTGCCGCCTTCTCTGAGCTCTGCACGCTGTCCATGGCTCCCTCTCAAAAGTAGAGAAATGCTACTTCTCAGCCTATTTGGGGGGGGGGGGGGGGAAGGACCCCATACTGAGTGAGACTGCAGCCAAAAAGGCAGTCAGGCTGGGGAGCTGCACTGAGCCCTCCCTCACGTCTGCACCAGCAGCAGCCCTACCCCAAGAGCCTAAACAAGCTTCTGCGACCCAGAGGTCTTCAGTCTTACCCAGGCTGAAGCGTGACCTTGACCATTATGTAGACGGGACCCTGGAAATGCTAGTGATGAATTACACTCCCACGGGGTGGTTTCCAGGTCTGAGGTATTAAAGTAACTGACAAGGTGGTTAGAAATGATAAGTGGGAACAACCCAAGTCAATCTGGGGATATAAAACAATGGGTTCTTTACAGCTTCTGTTTTTAATAGCTGCCAATTTATGCTTTTTACCCAACGCAGACGTTAAATCAAAGCTCCCCCTCCACGAGTACTTTGCAGAAAGGCCAGCCACAGAGCCCAGACTGCACTTTACAGACAGCTGTGTGGTGGTGAAATTAGCACAGAACAGAGAAGCGATGCACCTGGATTGCACAATGAATCAGGCAAAGGTGGGCAAGGTTCCTCATGTACCTGTTGCTGGCAGAGTCCCCTCTAACTCAGCAGGAGTCGCTCTGAGCTTAAAGGAGCAACCTCCCGTCTTCACTGGGCACCAGGAAAGGTGCCCTGCTTGGGGGAAATGTGAACTATTCCCACTTAGTACTTAAGGACCCCATCTTTTTAGCACCGCCCCTGCCCTCCTTGCTTCATATAGTCAAGACCCAGCTCAGGCACCCCCCTTATGAAGCCCCCTCAGAATCCCCAGGAGCGGAGGGCATTCATTAGTCCTCTGCTCACCACAATGCAAGTCACACCAGGTATGAGTTCTAGCTGATCACCTCCCAGGGAGCACCAGCCATGCCTTGCTCATCCCTGGAATAAAGAAGCCCCCCCAGTGAGTTTTTGAATGAATGTAGATACATCATTTGATTATGTGATGAGCTATTGTTTGCTACTTTAGGCAGAGCCATTGAGTTACATTTTCTCAGCTTGGAGGTAAAAGAGGCCGGATGCCCTATTCATTATCAGCTGCTGGTTGTCCAGTCCACTGAACGGCAGATGTGGGTATCTTGTGTTCAAATCCGAGCCCCACCAATGATGGGAGCGAGTTACTTAAACTCCCTCAGCCTCGGTTTCCTCATCTGTAAAATGGAGACAGTTATCCCCACCTGCTTGGGTGGTTGGGAAGATCAAGAGGGTGAGACTGAGCTGCATCACTGTCTGGAACCTTCTCTTCACATCTGTGAATAGACCTGGCTCCTGTTTTGTCCTTAATCAGGGGATCACAGGCAAATTCTCTGGGGTGTTAGAAGACAAGCATTCTGGAATATTCTGTTGAGGGACTTTAGGAAGGAGCTCTCCCGGGCATAAGAAGCTTGAGTATAGGGTACTGGCAAAATAAAAATAAACCAAAGCATACATTTTAAAAATGAAAGCAAGGCAGATTTGTTTTTCTTATCTTCACCCGAGGACATTTTTCCATTGATTTTTCAGATAGAATGGGAGGAAAGAAGGGAGAGAGAGACAGAGAGAAGCATCTGATGTGAGAGAGACACATCGACTGGTTGCCTCCCGCACAACCCCAACCAGGGCCGGGGATCGAACCTGCAACCGAGGTACGTGTTCTTGGCTGGAATCAAACCCTTGATTCTTTGGTCCATGGGCTTACACTCTAACCACTGAGCAAAACCGGCCAGGGCACAAGCCAGATTTTTATTTTTTAACATTTAAGACTCTAAATTGATTCATTATGGAGGCAGGTTTCAATAAATCAGAGATAAATGAGATGGTAAAGCAAAAATGGGGGCAGGGAAGATAACATTTATAGAGCTCTGATCCTGAGCCCAGCACAATGCTAGGCGTTTTCACATACATTTCATCATCTAACCTTCATGACACCCCCATTCTAACAAATGAGAGTCAGAGCAGTTAAATAAATGCAGGGCACAGGGTCGCTTGGGTTCCATGGTGGAACCCTGGTTTATTCTACCTCTGAAGTCTGGGATTTTTCCAGTAATGAGCTTTCAGGATGGAAAAACTCCAAAGAAGTCAGCAGGTCAGTGTAGATTTCCTCATGGGGTAAGGCCAAGAACACCAGTGTCTGACCCCTCTGAGGTCAGAGACTGCTTCTCCAAACTCTGCCTTTTCAGTTTGGACCAGGCAACTTCCTAGGGATCAAACTACATTTTTTTTGCATCCACAGTCATCCCCCCGACGTGCGTCACCAAAGATGACCAGATAAACTATGGTGGCTTAATCCAGATTCTTCCCCGCTATCGGAAAAACAACTCAAACGTTCTGCACACTGATGAGAACGGGTGGGTAGCTCCATGTGGATGTGGAAAGGTCATACTTTTTGGTTGAAGAGCGTGTCAGGGGGTAAACTGGAAACGTGGAAAGCTGGTGAGAGTTGAAGTAGCCTCTGGCTGATGAGCTGATCTTCCTTTCTTCCTCGCAGATGTCACAGTGGATCCTTTGCCTCCAGAACCCATTAAGGTGAGAATAAGGTCTTTGGCTGGAGGGAGCTGGCCTGGGACTGTAAGGCAGCCATGGATACGGCGTATGACCCACTCAATGTCAGCCAACCACTGCTTCCCTTTCCATTCGACCTCAATGGCTCAGTGGGGGCAGCCAACAGCTCAAACCAGACAGAGCCATACTATGATCTGACCAGCAACGCGGTCCTCACGTTCATATATTTTGGGGTCTGCATCATCGGGTTGTGTGGCAACACACTTGTCATTTATGTCATCCTCCGCTATGCCAAGATGAAGACCATCACCAACATTTACATCCTCAACCTGGCCATCGCGGATGAACTCTTCATGCTGGGTCTGCCCTTCTTGGCCATGCAGGTGGCTCTGGTCCACTGGCCCTTTGGCAAGGCCATTTGCCGGGTGGTCATGACAGTGGATGGCATCAACCAGTTCACCAGCATTTTCTGCTTGACAGTCATGAGCATCGACCGATACCTGGCTGTTGTCCACCCCATCAAGTCAGCCAAGTGGAGGAGACCCCGGACAGCCAAGATGATCAACGTGGCTGTGTGGGGAGTCTCTCTGCTGGTCATCTTGCCTATCATGATATACGCGGGGCTTCGGAGCAACCAGTGGGGGAAAAGCAGCTGCACCATTAACTGGCCAGGTGAATCCGGGGCATGGTACACAGGGTTCATTATCTATGCCTTCATCTTGGGGTTCCTGGTGCCCCTCACCATCATTTGTCTTTGCTACCTGTTCATTATCATCAAGGTGAAGTCCTCTGGAATCCGAGTGGGTTCGTCCAAGAGGAAAAAATCTGAGAAGAAGGTCACCAGGATGGTGTCCATAGTGGTGGCTGTCTTCATTTTCTGCTGGCTCCCTTTCTACATATTCAATGTCTCCTCAGTCTCTGTGGCCATCAGCCCCACTCCAGCCCTGAAAGGCATGTTTGACTTTGTCGTGGTCCTCACCTACGCGAATAGCTGTGCCAATCCCATCCTGTATGCATTCCTGTCGGACAACTTCAAGAAGAGCTTCCAGAATGTCCTGTGCTTGGTCAAGGTGAGCGGCACAGACGACGGGGAACGGAGTGACAGTAAGCAGGACAAAGCTCGACTAAATGAGACCACAGAGACCCAGAGAACCCTCCTCAACGGAGACCTCCAGACCAGTATCTGAACTGCCTGAAAATAAGTCAATACCCGCCAGGCTCTGCCAGCGGGCAGTGTGCTCCCTACCCTCACCCACTTCTGTCTCCCACCCGTCACACCTGGCTTCTAGAATAGCGAATTGTTCAGCATGATTCCAATTCAGAGAACAGTGTTTGAGTCGGCTTGTCTGAGTGAATGATTTGCATTAAATTGACTAACTCCCTCTTAAAGTGAACACGTAGAGGCAGGCAATTCAAAGTCTGGGAAAGTGGCGATCACGCCTTTGCAATGTTGCAGCTCAACCAACAGAGACAGAAAACTGTATCTGTGTGTTTGTGTAATCTTGTGTTCTTACATTTATACTTGTATATTCCTATCTGGTCCCTGTACAGTTGTGACCCACATTTCCTGTGTTCAAAGACACAAGTAGCAAACCCAAGCGTGTACAGTGCAGGTGGACACGAATTAAAACATGGAACCCACAGCAATGGACTGTCCACGAAGCCAATAAAGTTGAAGCTTCAGGGATCTCGCTGGCTTGGGCGGTATGTTCATACAGCCATATGTTTTTGTAAAAAGTTATAAAAGGAAGATATTTTTGTATTCTTGTTCTTCAATTGCATAAGCCACTGGCTTCTGCCCCTGGGCATTTGCTTCATTCATTTCAGACAAGTTAGAGCCAAGTAAGAAGGGGAAGGGAGAAGGTATCTGAGGTCCCAAAACATAAATTCGTGTGTTTCTTCCTCTTAGATATAATCAAAGAATTATTCATTTACCCAAAAGGACTTGAACGGTTATGACCGCCAATCATTGCATTTATGGACGACGACTGCCTGCCTTGTTATCAGAGCGCATTTTTTCTGGTCACATTGCTTACATTTTCTTAGGGAGCCGAGGGAGAGGAGGGGTGGGCATCACTAACCTGAAAGGCAAAAAATAGACTATAATTCTTTTTTTTTTTTTTTATCCTCACCCGAGGACATTTTTCCATTCCTTGTTCAGATAGAGTAGGAGGGAGAGAGAGGAAGAGAGAGAGAGAGAGAAACATCGACGTGAAAGGGACACATCGAGTGGCTGCCTCCCGCTCGACCCAACCAGGGCCGGGGACAAACTGCAACCGAAGTACGTGCCCTTAGCGGGAACCGAACCCGGGTCTCTCTGGACCGCAGGCCGACGCTCTAACCGCTGAGCCAAACCGGCCAGGGCTAGACTATAATTCTTATGGGGAAACAATTTTATTCTCTCTACCGTGAAAATAAATGAATAAGGATGAAGCAAAACTACATCATTAGGAGAAACCATGAAATTGGGGGTTTGTTTGTTTATGGCAGACGTGGCCTCCAATAAAAGGAAATGGAAATGCAATTCAGTAACTCCTCAAAGGAGATATTTTCAAAGACGCGATACAAAGCTGGGCACTCAGAACATCACAGAGCATACCAGAGGCCTGAGGGCACGGTCTCCGAGATCTAAGCACACGCACAGCCAATAGGCTGCGTGACAGGGTGTCCAGTGCGAGGGCCGCAGAGAGCCCCAGTCGCACAGGTACGGCCACTCACCTTCCTCACCCACTGCACACACATGCAGTGTCTCACCTCCCATGTCACAGACTCAGCTATGCCTCGAGCACTGTCATGGACAAGCATCAGTGGCTTTTTTTGTTTTTTTGGTCCCTGAAATTGTAGATGGGCTCATGCACAAGTGATAAGAAATGAAACAATGTCCGTGTCATGGATTGATCACAATTGCCGGGGTATGAAGAAATATACACTCGGGTGTTTGTCAGGATGCCGTCATCTCGGGGTTTATGTGAAAACCTCCCTCTCGGTCTCACAGATTGCTCTCTGTTTAAAAAATGAGCTTTCCTCCTCCGTGCAAGGTGTCTGGCTGCGAGAATGATGAAGAACTCCACCTGTGGCTACCGCTGGTAATGCCCTGCCTTGAACCCGCCTGTCCCTATGACATGCTGTCTCATTCCCCAGAGTACTCCCTGTGGCCTGGAAAAATATGTTCAGCAAGATGTATGGTAGGTGGAATCCATGTAAAAACAGATAATTATGAGACGAGACTACAGGGAAAGTTGCTACACAAATTTCCACGCAGTAAAATTCCTACAGGAAAGGTCAGCTACAAGTTCAGCTCGGGATTTCCTAGCAGCCACAATTAATGGAGAGTGAGCTCCTCCTCCTCCCTCCTCCTCGTTTTTCTTCTTCTTTATAAAAATAAGCCAAGGAAGGAAATGCAGTGTCCTTTCATCACCCAGCGTCCTTTTCCTTGTGTCTTCTTACATGGTCCCAAGCTGCGGCATGAAGCCCACCATAATTTCAACTCCATGTCCAGAGTTACTGAACTCTCTGTTACTGAAACACAAGCTGACATCATTCAACACAGGCCGCAGTGTGGTAGTGTCTCTCCCGATGCCTTGCTCGCTAAACCCACTCGGGTTAATCAGCTCTTCACTGCCCATGCCCGTGGAAGGGGAGCAGTAGCTTCCATTCTACGAGTGATCAGGTTTCCTCAAATCAACGGAGTGCGTCACTTCATACTCTCTCCCAGCATCCAGCAGATTTATCTTCATAATTAAATGGGGAGTGGGGGCTAAGTTGGAATTAAAACTGTGTTAACATTTAATTTAAAATCTTGATTCCCTCTTTTGGATAAGAGAAATGAACCAGAGAGCAAGTCATCCTTGAAAGAGAGATCTCAGAAAGTGGAGAACACCTCTTTACGTAGTAGACCCTGATGGCTGGAATCACAGCCTCGATCATCAAGGCCCCATCTCTCAGCTTCAGACAGCGTCCTGTTGAGGTGTACGCACCTTCTACTGGGCGTGTATTTCATCGGGAGGGTTTGGGCGACTTCTCTGGACCCTGGCTTCCTTGGAGCCTGTTTCTCTGATCACAGGCCTATGAGTGTTACAGAATGAATCCATCTGCCTTGAAATTACTTCTACCCATTCTTGGCCCCTTGGAATCGCCTCCCTAAGTGAAAATCAGCATTTATTCAAAGACCCTGGAATGTCTCAGACATACTATAATAATGGAAAAGTTGGGTTTTAAAGCATTTCATTCTAAATCTTTGCTTGTTTTTTAATGAAGAAGAAAGAGTAGGAGGGGAAGGGGAAAGGTGTGTGTGTGTGTGTGTGTGTGTGTGTAACGACTTCTCCTCCAGTCTCACCCTACAAGTCCACTTCTCTTTTTTTTTTTTTAAATCCTCTCCCGAGGACACTTTTCCTTTTTTTTTTTGTTCAGATAGAGTGGGATGGAGAGAGAGGAAGAGAGAGAGAGAGAGAGAAACATCAACGTGAAAGGGACACATTGAGTGGCTGCCACCAGCACAACCAACCAGAGCCGGGACAAACTGCAACCGAGGTACGTGCCCTCAGCGGGAACCCGGGTCTCTCGGGACCGCAGGCCGATGCTCTAACCACTGAGCCAAACCGGCCAGGGCGGTCCACTTCTCAACTTTGCGTGGACTCGTGTGTCTGCATAAATGGTCTGCAGAGGAGAAGCGGTGGCCTGGTGGACAGGACTCGCAGAGCGGGCAGTGGCCGGGAGTTTGCTTACACACGTGACCCCTTCTCCATGACTGAATACAGGCGTTGACTGCTGAAGCCTCCGCCCCGGCGGCCCTGGGCAGGAGCGCGTGCAGGGGAAGGTGCCGTCTGGCCATGGAGCGGTAGGAAGCAAAGAGCTGTCCAGATTCACGTTCCCTGTCAGCTCCAAATGTGACTGTGTGATCAGGACAGTGGAGTTACCGCGGCAGCAGGCGTGAGCCTTGGCCTTGTGGAGGAACATGGCAGGAGACTCATCCGGGTCCAGGTATGATTGGAGGGTCTGGACAGCGTTTCTGAAATGTGTCACAACAGCTGGCAAGCCAAGCACTGGAGCTTGTAAGTAATGATACCATCAGCCACGTGTCTCATCTGTGTTTTTGCCAGATTCAAAAACACCCAATTTCCTAACAAATGCTCTATCAGAGGAAATCTTTACCTAAGTGCTTGTTTGGCTTCTGATAAGTAAATTTCTGGAAACATTCCCATGGGCAGAGTCTCTATTTTTTTTTCTCCACGTAGCAGTTCATCTAGAAAGTGGGCCCCAAGGGACTATATTCCACTTACGGCTGAGAGCTTGGTAGCCGTTACCTGAGTGGGCAGACCAGCAGGGTCGAGAATAATCGCTGAGGACAGGAGGGACCTGGCGCCCTTCCTTCACTGGGCAGCGACCAGATGCAGGTGGTCACACAGGTCTCCTTGGGACACGGTGGGCTGCGCGGTTAGTGCTATGGGACCACCTGTAAAGTCACCAGGCTGTGCTTAGAACCAGGGCTGAACATTAGCCAAGACTTGGCCGAGCTGAACATAAAAGACTCCTCGTACTCCCACGATCAAAAGTGACCACAGCCTCATTGAAGAAAGTGCCCTGGCTTCACCACCGGCTCAGGGAGCTCAACGGCCACTGCCACTGCCCCCGCCCTCCCGCCCAAAGACCTGAAACACCAGACTCCGCCCTGAGGGTGGAGAGGGATTCCTTGGGCGAAGGGGCGGGGCCTGACTTTCTTCACCTCTCCTTTCCTGGCATTATTAAAGGACCAGACCAGGGGAGAAGACCTCAGTGCCAGGACACTGGTGTCTGGTCGGGAGGGGTGGCTCGCTTCCAATCCTAATCCTGCCAACAGGGCTGGAAGCGACAAGGGTGTACTGCTGAGGGATCGGGTCGCCCTGTCTTTGAGAAAAGCCTGAGCAGGAGCCTGAGGCAAGGCCCACTGAACAGAACCCTGAAATGGTTCCCACCGCCTGGCCGCTCATTATTCAGTGCCCGGGGCACCCAGTGGCGTAAGCCTTAGCGAAGGTCTCTGCAGTAACCTTCACTGAACAGAGAAAGGGGGCGTGCTGTGGGCGACCAAGGAAGACGGGTTTAGCCTTGGAACTGAAAGAGACACAGTTGTCCCAGGTCCTTACAAAGTGGCCAGTATGGGAGGCCTGAGGGGACACTGTTCCCCTCGAAAGAGGAAACCCATGATCAGCTCTGCGGGACCATGTGTAAAGTCGCCAGGTGCCGCCGGGGAGCAGCATGTCCCTCCTGGCAATGCCCTTCTTACCTGGCAGGTGGCATCAGTTCCTGGGGGCATTCCTGTCCCCAGGCGAGAGAATATGGTAATTACTGAGTGAGCTGGTCTTCTCTCTCACAGGTATTCTTTTTTAACAAGAAACCCAAATAGAACATAACCCAGGCTTAGCTGTTTCTTAACACTGACCAGCATCCCACGTCTTGGGAG